TGTCGGCTTCAAATGTAGGGCCGCTGGATTTGAACCCGGGACCTTTATCTTTCGGTGATGAGCGCCGTGTCAACGCCTAAACCGTTGCGGCCACCGACGCCGCCATACCAAAGCCTTCCAGTCCGTCAATTTCTTTGTGTTAATTCAACCTTTGTTCATCTGTACAAAAACTTTTCCAGCTAGCCGTAGCTAAAAAATTAAAACTTATAAATAGATATAAATTATTCATATTATTAATTATACATGACTAACATCCCTTTAAATACAAATAACTCGCTAACAAATCATTAATCAAGGTAAGGACTGAAGTTTTCTGTATTTGCAAACCATTCAAGTATGTTTTTTTATTCTGGACAAATTTTAATCTTAATTTAATTTTTTCCGATCGGTTTAGTAATCCGCCATCGTGCCAATATTGTGAGTCAGCGCTGACAATGAACACAAAAAGAGTACAAAAAAAATTACAAAAAACTTCTTTTCGGAGGGGGTTCGTATTCATGATAATTTGCCGCGGCTATATAAAACAGAGTTTATGGAAGAGAGACCATTTTTTTAAAATAAATTTTTGAACTCCTGTGTTTTATGGGTGCTTTAATGCTGTGGAAGATGCGGCGACTGAGAAGATTACATTGCTCTGTCCTTCTTTATGCTACTTTTTTAAAATATATTTACATTCTTTTAGTTGGAATTGAGTACATGTACAAAGCAATTCACTGTAGTGCCACTGTAGTACTTTCTATAGAAATGTTTAAAAAAATCAATTATAAATATTCTTTTGTAAAAAAAAGGTATCCGTACTTGATGAATTAATGAAAAACATCGATGATTCTATCCTCGATGGCCATCCATCCGATGTTTGTAGAAAATCGATGTTTTATCCCCAACCATCGATGGCCCGATCAAACAATATCATTATACATTTAAAAAATTGTGAAGTTTTATTATATGGAATATAATAACAATTATGTACGCAATAATACGGTGCGGACCGGGAAGGGCTCAGCCTTCCTCGTATGTACCGACTTTCTGAGCGCAGTCTGGGCTATACGCGACAGGTTCTCGTCGTGCTCTTGTTAGCGAAATACGCGGAGCTGGAGTCTCTCGGAAAAACGGTGGTTGTTGTCTGGATTCCCGGACACGTCGGCCTGGAGGGTAACGAACGCGCGGACGAGGCGGCGAAAGCCGGTACGTCCCACCCTCCAGATCGGACCATCGCGATCAGGCCCCCTGAAGCTAAACACGCAGTTAAAAATATGATAAAAGAAAGATGGCAGCGTCAGTGGGCGGGGTCGTCGGAGAGGCTCTTGCGAGTCAAGAGCACGACCGGTAGATGGCCCTCTGAGAATCTGAGCAGGAGACGAGGGATCGTCCTCACCCGACTGAGGATTGGCCATACTCGGTTGACACATGGGCACCTGCGGCCCGCGCAGGTGCCCCTTATGCAGAGAAAGGTTGCTCGATGTGTCCCACATAATAGAGGCGTGTCATGCTCCATACAGAGAGCGTGTAGGCAAGCCGCCAGATTTAAGAAGAGTCCTCGAGCACGGTAGCGAGTTTCAGAGTCCCCTGTTCCGCTTTTTAGGGGAAATTGGGTTTTTTTATTGTATATAGTATGTCGTATGTGTTATGTGTCTATATGTTTTGTCTGTGTGCATGTATTTATTAGCGTGAATGGCGAGGGGTGAGGGTGAATATAACGTCATCACCCCTCGAACGATGAAAGCGAGTGATTATGTGTTCGGGGTCGATGGCGGAATATTTATAAAAGTACCCCATCGACCCCAATCTAGTTTTGTTTATGTGTAGGTCGGTGGAGGAATATCAAGTACTCCACCGACCAAACGGAATGAGTGTACTGTATGGATGTAACACGAGAAATGTATCAAAGTCTTCATCGATACCATCGTTAAAATTAATCGAAGGAGGCCGGCGAAGGGATTAGGGTCTAGGGCAGGCATGGCCAACATAGGGCCTGCATAATGAATTTATGTCGCCTACGAACAATTTTTCAATATTTGCATTTAACATCGAGTAATTAATCGAATGAATTGTCGATACTTCTATATTTAAAAAAAAGATTTATTTATGAAGAATTACAACTTATAAAATCATCTCTACTCGATATGATTTGGCATGACCTCTTTCCAAAAAACACAAAGTAGATTTAGAATGTCTTATATTTAATGAAGAATGGAGTAGGAAATATTTTTTTGCGATGTACAACAATAAGGCAGTTTGACTTACGTGTAACTCGAGTGTGGCAGTTTTAAAAGAATACTAACAGAATAATAAATAAGAAGACATTTTGCAGCCAAATATGCAATTTAAGCACAAAATGTAATCGAAAAAGCCGGGAAAAAACGCAGATCTTGTAGTAAAATTGAAGCACTTTTTTTATTAGCAAAACGAATTGCTCAATGTGGAAAACCTTTGGCTGATGGAGAATTTGGGGATGTTTGCGTTCTTGCGTGTCGTGTTGAGAGTGCCAGTGAGATATTGACTCTCAACACGACACGCAAGAATGGCACAGTTACGCAGAAAACCCAAAAATACTTTGAGCCCTGAAGATGATCTCAATAAAGATCGAAACGTTCACGATTTCTGAATAATCATCAATTAACAGTCACTAATGACCAAAAAAAAAAGCCATTACCGAAGGTTTCAAATTTCGGAAGAACTTTTATCATCTGTTTCAACATAAGTCACAACAAAGGGAGAAGACCTTTTTCCGAGAGATTGAACAGTGTTTTTTAAAGTAAAATGTTGACTGAAAAATTGGTGGATGTTGCAAACATGATCAGTAAAAAATTGTGTTCATCAAATTGAAGATAAAATTTTCACTGAATTATTCATCAACACGCACTATGTAAAAATATTTTAAAAATCGATCATGTTACAAATGTAGTTGTGAGATTTTAATTTCCTTGAATTCGATAAGATTAATCAAAGTCAATTTTTCGATCTCCTTGAAGAACTAAATACCAGGGGGCCGTCGGTGGCCACTATGGTTTAGGCGTTGACACGGCGACATTACTGTAACGTAAAGGTCCCGGGTTCAAATCCAGCGGCCCCCTGCTTTCGAACCCGACATACTTAAAAATGGGCTTTTTTTTCAAAAACACCTGCACCGCGAGGGTTGATATAACCTCTTCTGTTGCGAACACTCGGGGGGAGAAAAAAAATTCGTTGGTTAAGTTTGGGAAAGGTTTTAAGACATGTGTAGGGAACCTTCAAGAAGAAATAAAAATATTTTCAATGCTTAAAGAAAATGAGGATTAGATCCATATTCTTACACACCTGAAAAAATTTAACACATTTTTACAAGAAAAAAATGTCAATGATTTAATACAGAAATTAGGAGCTCTTAAAATGTAGCTTAGCCTTTTTTCTACAATCCTGGCTGAATGCAAATTTGATAATTTTTAAACGTTACAGACAATATCTTTAAGTATTCTAAAAGCAAAGTTTCAAAAATTTAACACTAATGACAGATTTGAAGCAAAAAATTGATTACTCCAAAAAATTTACAAAATTTTATTATCCGGAACATTTTTTGTTCAGCGGGCACTCTCAACACGACACGCAAGAATGGCATAATTACACTGAAGACAAACACTTTGAACCCTGAAGATGATCTCAATAAAGATCGAAACGTTGGCACGACAAAGAAAATGTTTTTCTAAAACGTACGTCACACCAGACCGCATCTCACGATCTCCTAATAATTTCTGTACAAGCTCATGACGTTCCTGTTGATATACAATTAGAAATAATTAATTTACAATGTGATGAATTATGAGATGAGTTGATTTATGTAAATTTTATAAGCAATTGAATAATGAAAAATATGGCAATTAAAAAAAACTTGCCAAGACGTATTTACTAATCTTTAGCTGAACTTACATTTGTGAACACACCTTTTCTTTAATGAATCTAAATAAAAGTACAATATCAAGATTGAATGATTTACATTTGGAGGTTATATAAGAGAAGTTCCTACAAGTATAGAATCACATATTAAAAAATAATAAGCGATGCAAACCGCCTCAACACATAGTATTAATTATGTTAATTTATCGTTTATTCCTAAACAAATTTTTAATAAAATTTTGTTTACTTAGAGAAATAAGTGTTTTGCTTAACATTTTTCCATTTTAATTAACGGCTTATAAGGTTTTTCCTCTACAGAGAACCACTCAGAATTCTTGATACACGTCAGAAGGTTGATGATCAAAAAGGAAACAATTTGTTTCAGGATTAATCTATCAACTCTACAGATCAGAATAATCTTCGATATTAATATTTTGTACAACACGTGAAAATATTTTTTTTCCCATCCTGCCCGGGGCAAATGCAGTTGGCCATGCCTGGGCTAGGGAGTATGGAAAAAGAAGGTTTTTCCTTGTCTGTTCGCCGTTTTTCATTTTAATTGTTCAGTTTTTGCTTAGTTTTTACTCGATTAATACTAGTAGGTTTATTTCCAATTCAGGCAGTGTTTTTGTTTTTGCTTTAACACAGTTCTTATTAGTCTTTATGTAAGATATTTGGTTGAAATAAAAAAACCGTTGTCACGAGCGGGATTCGAAGCAGAAGGTCGTGGGTTCGAATCCCACTCGTGACACTGGCTTTTTTGTTTAAACCAATACCTTACGTAAATATTAATTAATTGAAAGAAGTTATTTGGTCAATCGGACACGAATCTAACGGATTTAGTTCTTATTATTACGAACATCAGGTAAAGGTTTTAATTTTATTAATTTTTAATGTACTTATCTTTTTATTTAAAAAAAAATTGAGATGAAAAAATATTTTCTGGCTTTAAGAATAATAATAAATACAACTAATAGACTAAAAATGGTAAGATACTTAAACGAAAGCAAAACATCCATGAATTTTTTTCCATCGATATTTGATATTCTAATCACTGCCGATATCAAACATCGATGCTTTTGGGTTCGATACCCATCTCTGCAGAAAACACAATTTGTTGATTTGTACAGATAGTGGTCTCCGGAATTCTGGAAAGCAGATGCTCTCAAGTGCCCCGAAGTGGAAAGTCGAAGGTCTCCAGGATTGTTATTTTGATCGAGAGTTCAAGAGACTATTTGAAGGAGAAGGAGGAAACACGACGCAAAAAATTGAAAGGAAACTGTGGTATGTAATGATTCGATATATTAATTATTATAAACTGGCAATAATTCATTTTCTGTTCTTTCAAATTACATTTGAGAATGTTATTATTATTATGTAACTGTAAATTATTAATTCTTTCACCTACTTATTAGATTACGGAATGATGGACCCTCTCGTTCACACGTTCATTAAACGTTTCCTGTTGTCTAATTTCATTTACTCATTGATTATTTCTTTATTTAACATTCACGTACTAATTAAATTAATGATTGAAGGAATGACTCATTCATTGATGAAGCTCTTCTTATTTCATTGATGGATCAATTATTGGTTTAATCATTCCTTAGACATGATAATTTACTTTTAGTATTGACTAACACATTCACACATGAATAATCAATTCCATAATCGTTTTCCTTTGCTCATTGGCTATTCATTTATTTAATGAATCACGCACAAATTAGATTATTTGATGGGCTGACACATTTGTTTTTACATACATTTATTGATACACAAAACTCTTTTTTTTTATCAAAGATTGATAAAAATTAGTTTTATCATTCTTTTACGTATTAGACTTTTTGGTAGACAGACACGCTCATTGGCATTACTCAACTAATACCCAAACATTTTTCTTCATTGATTGACTAAGAGATGTGTTTAATCATTCACTTATTTATTATATTAATGATTAATTTACTGACTCACGCATTCACACATTCATTCAACTAATTCCGAGCGTTTTTCTTCACTGATTGACTAGCAAATATCTTTAATCATTCACTTACCTATAAATGATTAATGTACTAATTCACTTTTTACCCCATTGATTTCACTATTTCCGGACCATTTTATGTCACCGTTTGATTTACTAATTTATACGTAAATCATTCACTTATTGATTATATTAATGATTAATTTACCGACTCACGTATTCACACATTCATTCAACTAATTCCGAACGTTTTCCTTCACTAATTGACTAACTCTTGTGTTTAATCATTCACTTACCTATAAATAATTAATCTACTAATTCACTTTTACCCCATTGATTTCACTATTTCCGGACCATTTTATGACTTAACTACTTTAATGATTTGATCATTAACTTACGTTGAATAATTGACTGACACATGGATTCACACATTCATTCAATTAATACCGAACCTTTCCTTCACTGGCAGGTCAAACCAACTCTCAGGGTACGGGTGTTTTTGAAAAAAAAAAAAAAAGACTATTTGTGTATCGAGTTCGAATGCAGGGCCGCTGGATTCGAACCCGCGACCTTCACCTTACAGTGATGAGCGCCGTGTCAACGCCTAAAACGGTGCGGCCGCCGACGACCCCTATAACACATACATTAACATACCTATAAGATTACTTTCAGATGCTCATTCAATCATTCTTGATTTTTTCATTCGGTAATTGATTGTCTAAAGGATTTGTTTAATTATTATCTTACTTATAAAATTATTGAATGACTGACACACGGATTCTCACATTCATTCATCTAATACCGAACCAGTGCTTCAGGTTTGATTGACTAACGTATTCGTCTGATCATTAAATTACCTAAAAATTACTGATTGATGAACTGTCTCACTCATTCACGTATTCAATCAACCATTCCCTGATTTTTTCCTTCAGTTATTTATTGACTAAATAATTTGTTAAATAATCCGTTTACTTATAATATTATTCAATAATTGACTGATTCGGTTTTCGCACGTTCATTCATTCTCCGATATTTCTAGACTCACTGATTGGCTACTTATTGACTGATCCATTCATTTATTATTAGACTATTTATTGATTGACTGGCTCATTGATTTAGAAATTCATTCAACTAATGGCGAAGCATTTTCATTCACTGATTGTCTACTTATTATTTTAGTTATTCACTTCATTAATAAATAATCTACTAAGTGCGTTTATTGGTGAAATAACTCAGCCATTTACATTATCATTTAACAATTGAAACGTTTTTCAATTATTGTTTTTGATGATTGACTATTTTTGATGATTGACTCATATTTTTAATTATTTACATATGTATTACATTATGTGCTGAACAGCTCACTCATTCACACATACATTCTGCTATTCCCTGATCACTTTCATTTACTTATTTGCTGCTAATTGGTTTAATCATTCACTTATCTATTTGATTACTGATAGAATCATTCAGTCACATATATTTCTACTAAATCATTTATATAAATTTTCCTATTTCGCCCATCTCACTGATTTCTTGTTATTGCCTTCATATTTAAGTTATTTTTGTAATTGCGATAATTATGTTTCAGGAAAGAAAAGAAAGAAAAATTTTTAACGAAGGGTGGTTTTCAACCTCAAAAAGGGCACCAATTCCATTCAACGCCGGGCGATCATTTCGGAACTTTTAGCGGAAAAATTGAAGGTTGATTTATAAAATGGAGTTAGAACCGGCATAATAAATAAATTGTGACTCTAGAGTTTTTATAGCATTTTCACCCAAGCAAAAGCCTCAGGAGAAAGAACGCTTCAAAATGGGTTTCTCAATGAAATCAAGCAAGTTGGGTGGGTGCGGTTACGTCGACATAACCATCAACAAATACCCGGAATACTTGTGAGCTGTTTAATTTAAAAATAAAAAAATAAAAAAGTTTATCACTGAACCGTATTTTCAGCTCTTCTAAAGCAAAGCCTGGATATTGGAACCCGGATAAGTCTAGGATAAGAGACGGACCGATAAAAAGCGGTTGGCCGCCAAGATTGTTCGACGCGAAGGTGTACATGCCGGTCGGGGACAAGGTTGAAAAGACGTACATAACGACCCGCGAAAAACCTTGGACCAAGTACGGACGTTTCTACCCACCGAGTCAGAACAAGCTGGTACATGACGGTTTTGTTTATCACGCCATAGCCCAAATCACAAAATTTTCTTTTTCCTTTTTTGGTATCATCTTGAGATTGTTGATACAGGAAGTTTGGAAAGAACCCGGAAGTTGCTTTCTGATAGAATTGTAAAACATTGGTTTACTACAAGACCATTTCTAAAGCTGGGAACACACTTACCCAATGCTACTCCCTGCGACGCTACTCGATGCTACCCGACGCAAATCCAATGTCCATTTTTCCATAAGATTGTATTACCCCCGTGCACAACTGCCCGATGCTATGCTACGCTACCCTACTCTAAGTTCTGCGATCCCCACTGTCCAGATTTTCGTCGGGTCGCATCGAGTACAGTCGTCGACAAAAGAACCAGACCTTCCTACTTTTATTCAAACTACATGTATTATTGCCGTTATATTAATTACTACATGCTTATTTTTATATAACACAAATTAACCGAGATCAAAAACTCATTAATTTTTATTTTAAAAAATATAATTTTAATGGTTTGGTAGAAAATTGATTAAAACACCGGAATACTATTTTTTCATATAATGAATTTAACAAACAATTTATTACACGGTTTTGTTCATAAAATTTAACTAACAATTTATTTCATGGTTTTGCTCATACAATTACACCATTTTCGTCGAGTAGCGTCAGAACAGGACACTCATATTTTTTGTAGTTTATTTCCAAATATGTATATGTAATCTTGTCGTTATATTAATTACAACATTCTTATTGTAATATAAACCAAATTATACGATATCAAAAATTCACGAGTTTTTATAAAAATTATTTCATTATGATGGTTAGGCAGAAAATTTATCAAAAGACCCGAATAACATTATTTAAAACAATCCAGTTATTACAATCCATAAAATTTAACTAACCATTTATTGCAAGGTTTTGCTCAAAATAGAGCATTAAGAACAAAAGATGCGTTGCGATTGTGATCGTGATTATTGTGACAAACGCTGTGGACGCGTGTACTTGCGTCGGATAGATGTGCACACCCCACCAAAACGTGGCAAGGCGTCGGGTAGCATCGGGTAGCGTCGCATGGCGTAGCATCGGGTAAGTAAGTGTGTGGCTTAAAGCTGGGAACACACTTACTCGATGCAACTCCATGCGACGCTACTCGATGCTACCCAACGCAAATCCAAAGTCCATTTTTCCATAAGATTGTATTACCCCAGTGCACATCTGCCCCATGCTATGCTACGCTACCCTACCCTACGCTCTGAGATCCCCACTGTCCAGATTTTCGTCAGATCCCATCGAATCCAGTCGAATACAAAAGAACCGGACACTCACACAATTTTATCAAACTACATGTATTATTGCCGTTATATTAATACTTATTTTACATACTTATTTTAATATAAACCAAATTAGCCGAGATTAATATTCAGATCAAATATCAATTATTTAATCATTAAATTTTATTTTAAAAAATTAATTTTAATATCTTGCAATTAATTAAGGTTTTCAGTTGAGATAAAAAGTCAATGGCACGAGCGGTATTCGAACCCACGATCTTCGGCTTGATACGCCGCTGCTGTACCACTTGAGCTATCGTGACCTCGATCCACTCGGACACCAACCTCCCATCTCAACCCCACTTTTTGAATTTTCTCTCCTTTTTGCCATTTTTCAAATACCGTGTAATCAATTTGATTCTCGGCGACAAATGAGGGAAAATTCAAAAGGTGTGGTTGAGATGGAAAGTTGGTGTCCGAGTGGATCGAGGTCACGATAGCTCAAGTGGTACAGCAGCGCCGTATCAAGCCGAAGATCGTGGGTTCGAATCCCGCTCGTGCCATTGACTTTTTATCTCAACTGAAAACCTTAATTAATTGTAAGATATTAATTGGTCAAGCGGACCACGTAACTAGTGAATTAATTTTAATGGTTTCGTAGAAAATTTATGAAAACACCGGAATACCATCTTTTGATATATTGAATTTAACTAACAATTTACTACACGGTTTTATTCATAAAATTGAACTAACAATTTACTTCATGGTTTTGCTCATAAAATTACACAATTTTCGTCGATTAGCTTCAGAACAGGACACTCATATTTTTTGTAGCTCATTTCAAACTAAGTATATGTAATTTGTCGTTATATTAATTACAACATTCTTACTTTAATGTAAACCAAATTAAATGAGATCGAAAATTCATAAGTTTTTTTAAAAGTTATTTAATTATGATGGCTAGGTAGAAAATTTATCAAAATACCGAAATAACTTTATTTAAAACAATTAAGTTTAACAAATAATTTATTACATGGTTGTGCTCAAAATAATGCATTAATAACAAAAGACGCGTTGCGCTTGTGATAGTGATTATGGTGATACACGCTGTGTGACTCTACGTGACGTGCGCTTGACTTCGCATAGATGTGCACACCCTACCAAAACATGACTTGGCGTCGGGTAGCATAGGGTTGTGTCGCATGACGTTGCATCGGGTAAGTGTGTTCCCGGTTTAAAAGACGACTACAAATTTTGATTTTAAAATAGTTATGGGAATGTACTTTGGTCGATTCCGATCATTTTAGCCTATTTACTTTTGGTGTTCTTTCCATTGATGATGTCGAGAAGTTGAAACATGTCTGCTAATATAGGCAGACCGAAAATATTTAAACCGACCAATGATAGCTCGCTTTTAATCTTGGTCAGGTATTCCTGTTGGTTAAAAATTGAAATTTGATCTGAATATTTGGTTCATTTTCTGTACAGTCAAAAAACTATACTTGATACGTAAAAATATCAATTTTTATTATTCTTTACACCTGATTAAAATTCTAACTAGCTTACTGTTAGAAATGTAAAGAAGAGCGTTGAATAAAAAAAAGGATTTCCAATTTTATTTCTAATCCTTCAATAAGGAACGTAGGAGTATATAGGAGTATGGTGCCATGTGAATTGCACCTGGGATCAAAAGGGCCGGTATAATCAGGTCTTCCACAAATTACTCTTCCCGTTTTGGTTCTCCATTCCCTTTGATGTCGTTTGATACGGTTAACAAATTATCGGGAGGGCTGTGAAGAATTCAAATGGATTTCGAGCCTACGTCGAACGGTGAATGTATTTGCCCTGTGTTCATGGTTTTTTGTGTTACATTGGAAAAAAGAGCCGTCCTCGCGACCGTCAAATGTGTACAAATTAATTTAAGTTATTAAAAGTAAAAACTTGTTTTACAGCTGGGTGGTATGAAGGGCGGCGGTTTTTCAAAGTTTCCGGAATACTTACCTGAGAAGTACATCGATCCGTGGAAAATTATGAAATACGGTTCGACGGGCAAGTACCAAGAGACGAACAAAGGCTTGGCGCCATTCTTCCCACAGCCTTCCAACAAGTCGTACCCCGTGGTTTCCCCGATGAACAGAGTCATCGACATATCCACCACACCCAAAAATTTCTGGGTAAAAAAACCGGCAACATACAAGAGGGAATTTGTAATTTTATAAAAGAACAAATAATTTTAACCCTGAAAAATAAATATATTTTAAACTTATGCAAGACTATATATTATTTAATAATAAAAGACAAATAATTAGCCGAGAAAGAGAGAGATAAATACTGAAAGAGAGAGAGTGAGAGAGAGAGAGAGAGAAAGAAAGAGAAAGGGTGAGAGAGAGAGAGATAACGAGTGAAAGAAAGAGGGAGATGTAAATAGTAGATGAATGAAAACATTTTTTCAATCTCGTGAACGACCTGTTTTACAATTGCAAGACATTGAGATCTAGAGAAAGAGATATAAAGAGAAAGAGATATAAAGAGTGGAGAAAGAGGGAGATAGAGAGAGAGTCATTGCGATCAAGGGAGAGAGAGAGAGAGAGAGAGAGAGATGTAAAGTGAAAAAAAGAGGTAGGGGAGAGACAGAAAGAGAGAGGGAGAGACGTTAAGATCGAGGAGTAGAGAGATAACGAGTAAAAGACAGAGGGAAAAAGAGAGAGATGTAATGAATGAAAACATTTTGTCAATCTGGTGAACGGCCTCTCTTAGAATTGCAAGACATTGAGATCTAGGGAAAGAGATATAAAGAGTGGAGAGAGAGAGAGAGAGAGAGAGAGAGAGAGAGAGAGAGTGAAAGATAGAGGAGGAGAGAGAGAGTGAGGCAGAGAGAGAGGAGAGAGAGACATTGAGATCGAAGGAGAGACAGAGATAACGTATGAAAGAAAGATGGAGAAAGAGAGTGATGTAATGAATAAATAAAATAAAAATATAAAATAATAAATAAAACAATGTAAGGCATAAAATGGAAGTAAGANGAGAGAGATAAAGAAAGGGCGAGAGAGTGACAGAGAGAGAAAGAGAGAGAGAGAGAGAGAGAGTCATTACGATCATGGGAGAAAGAGATAAATATTTAGAGACAGACGGAAATAGAAAGATATCGCGTTAGTTACATAATCTCTCAAGATTTGGTGTCGAGGACCACTCTTACAAAAAAGATGCCAACAGCATGCGGTGTTCCCAGGCCTTCACCCATCCAGGTACTAACCACGCCCGATGCTGCTTAACTTCGGTGATCGGACTAGAACCGGTGTATTCAGCATGGTGTGGACATTAAAAGAGAGAGAGACATTGTGATCGAGGGAGAGAGAGAGAAAGAGTGAGATAGAAAGTGGCTGAGTTTTAGAGAGGGCGAGAGACAGAAAGAGGCATTGGATGAAAGCATTTTATAAATCTCGCAAGTTTAGATCGAAACACTTTCTCTTACGATGCGAGACATGGGTGTGCGTGCGTGTATGAAAGAGTGAGAGAGAACGAGTGAGAGAGCGCGGCAAGAAAGAGATGAAAAGGAACGAAAGAGAGGAAAAAATGTTAGCACGTTAAAACAATCTTGCCTATTTAATGATAAAATCAAAACTGAAGTATCCTTAAAGTTTCGACAAATATATTAAAAATAAAACCAACTACTACAAATACTAAAGGAAATATTATACTGCTTTACCATTATTGTGTTTAAGACGTAGTTGAATGAGAAAGCAGCTGAGTGTTTCGCTCTTGCTACTTCGTTATTTACACCTCCTGAAATGGCTTGCATTTAATTTCCGTATGTATGGAGAAAATTATGGTTCTATATATCATATTTAAATGTTCCAGCTTGAAAAGGTAGCTCGTCTATAAATGCTCTTAAACAAAAGCCTCACTACAAAACTACCACAGAATAACTGTTTTATATATCATTTGAAACGGCATGAATATAATCACTTATTTAGTCTGTTTATCTTTGTTATTTTGAGAATTATAATCGATTTGTTTTACCCATTACGGGAGAACATGTCACTTACATAATAATACGGTTGAACAGCTTAAATTAAATCATTGCTTTCCGATTAAGCCGTTTAATTTACGAAAGACATAAACTTAAATGTTCAGAGTGAGACCTGCCAATGAAGTTAGTTAAATAGTTAGATAGTTAAAAACAATCATTCTCTCTTTCCAAAATAAGTTGAATATTAAACTCAATTTTTCTTATCGAAGAAAAGCTTTATCGGCACTATTTCGTTAGGTAATGGAGATTTAACTATAATAACACTTAACCTGTAATGTTAATTACTTGTGTAATTTACAGTTCAGTTTTAAGTAATTTATTTGGTGGGAAATGTTCGTTACACTCCAGTCGTAATTTTTCATTAAGTTCACTAACTTGCTATGCGACTAGAAAAATAAGCCTAATTTTAACAGGTTTAGAAAAGAAATACTACGGACTCTTTTCTTCTACGCTTAATATTATAACAACTCGTTTTGTAATAATAATAATATTGTGTGTGGTGATTAGTGACCGTTAATCGATAATTATTCAGAAATCGTGAGATGCGGTCTGGTGTGATGTAGGTTTCAGAAAAACATTTTCTTTATCGTGCCAACGTTTCGATCTTTTATTGAGATCATCTTCAGGGCTCAAAGTGTTTGTCTTTTGTCTAATTGTGCCATCCTTGAGTGCACTTTCAACACGACACGCTAGGATGGCACAATTACACAGAAGACAAACACTTTGAGCCCTGAAGATGATCTCAATAAAAGATCGAAACGTTGGCACGATAAAGAAAATGTTTTTTTGAAACCTACATCACACCCGACCGCATCTCACGATATCTGAATAACTATCGATTAACGGTCACTAATCTCTACACGTTTTTCTGAAACCTACATCACACCAGACCGCATTTCACGATTTCTGAATAAATAATAAGAATAATAATCATTAATGACCAATTTTCATATAGAGCAAATAATGGTATTACAAATCCTTTGCGATTCCTTTGTAATGCACAATGATTTTCTGAAGTTCAGCTGTGTACATGCTAGCCTGATTCGATAGAGTTTAGTTGACTCATCAGCAAATATCCCACACCATACACCAATTTCATTTTTGGACCCATCGGTACAAAAAAATTTATAATTGTGATAGTCATTTAAAATCCGCAAGAATTCTGCCTTGATCATCAGAGAAGGTGTTTCTCTTTTGTTCAATAAGGCCAGTTCTTCGATAATTGTGGCAGTAGGTAATGACCACGGTGGAATATCTACCAATTTAAAACCTTCAACCGCCGGCAAGGTATTCCCTCCTAATCTGAACATTTCAGTACCGCGGTTTCCCAAAGGTCTCGTCCAAGTTCTTAGGAACAAATACATATCGTGGTAAGGGTTATGGAAAACTGGAGGAAATAGAGGATGAAAAGGCTTAGACCAAAGCCTAGCGACCTAAGAATTGCCTCCTCCCTGAACAGATCCGGAGGAAGAAAACCGGCATCATTGCAGAGACTATATAAAGGGCGAGTTCTAAACGCCCCTGTTATAATCCTCATACCAAAAAGCATGATTTTGTTCAGGGTGGCCAATATAATCACAGGTCACCATGTGCTGCCACAACGAATGCCTTGGGAGTTATCACACTGTCTCACTTCAGTAAAAGTTGGACAACAGACTGACAGGATACCTGACCTGCGAGCCCTCTCAACATATCACCCAATTAGGACTCATCTACATAAAAAAAAAACACTTGAGCTCTGAAGATGATCTCTATAAAGATCGAAACGTTGGCATGATAAAGAAAATAAGAAAGTATTTTTCTAAAACCTCATCACACCAGATCGCATCTTACGATCTCCAAATAATCATTAATTAATGGTCACTAAACACCACAAAAAATGGTTTTAAATTAAACACAGTGACACTCGGTGTCGGTCCTAGCATTTAAGGATCATTTCGTAAAATATTTTTAATATTTAAGCTTTATTGGTCTAATTGACCAAATTACTTATTTCAATTAATTATTCTTTCTATATAAAGTATTGGTCGAGATGAAAACGTTAGTGTCACGAGCGGTATTCGAACCCACGACCTTCGGCTCAATACGCAGCTACTCAAACCAATTGAGCCATCGTGATTTCGATCCTCATTGACACAACCTCCCCATCTTACAACCTTTCGAATTTTCCGTCTTTTTGCCATTTTTCATTTTTTCGGTGTCCGAGTGGATCGAAGTCACTATAGCTTAAGTGGTTAATTCGGCGGCGTATTGAGCCAAAAGTCGTGGGTTCGAATCCCGCTCGTGACACTAACATTTTCATCTCAACCAAAACCTTAATAAAAAGAATAATTAATTGAAATTTTAGTTAACATTCTCCTAACTCACTCAATCGTAACGCAACTAGAAGAACGGGTTATCTACAGTAGAATCCTATGTAATTAGAGAAAATTCTTAAGCACAAGAGAATTAAAGTTATATGTAGTTTGTTTAGTAATAAAATTATCTATTTTACATAGTCTCTGTTTCATTTAGGTTGAAATAAACACTTAATATATAATAATTGATCGTATAATTATTTATTTCCTGTAGGCAATTAACTTGCCAAATTTTAAAATCAAATTACACTCAAAGACAATAAAAACCGGACAATCGTATTTTGTTGTTTAGTTCAAACTTTATGTATTTTTATCTTTATATTAATTATAACATACTTATTTTTATTTTAATCAAATAAAACGAGAAATTCATGATCTTTAATAAAAAAAATATTTAATTACGATAGTTAGAAAAAAATTCATTAATACACCTGAAAATCATTTAGTGATAGATTAAAATTTAACTCTCATTTTATTATACGTTTTGGTCTTAATTTCGTCTTGAGAAACAAAATTCCATTCTTCTTGAAGCTGGTCGAATCTTGGTGGCGGCGAACGATTATCCGTTTCTTATCATGTCCCCATGTCCCCTAAGGGTTTTATGGGATTCCTGTCAGTTGAACCTAATGGGGAATTCACCATGGTCATCCCTATCATCTTCCAACTCGTTAATTGGAGCTGACTCGAGCTACATGCGGTCGAACATTATCATGCATCAACACGAAGTTTTTTCCATAAAACTGATCGAAAGAGGGCCCAACTTCCAGAAGAACTTCTTGAATGTACCACACTGCGGCCATAGATCCATTATTCCATATTAGATAATCAGTTTGGTACGGTCATAGTTGTAGCTTCCACCCTATTCCATAACTGACTGTT